TAAAGGTTGTATTTCCATGGGCTGACGAATTATAAATACGTCAACGTCTACGGGCGATGAAAAGTAGTCGATGATTTTGGAAAAATCCCTCTTTTTTAAGAGCAAATACGAAGGTCCGTTGATTTTCAATCAAAGTATGTTAGTCTCTCCCTACCCTGGTAATATGGTCCTTTTACCCCTCCCTCTTTTATGTTTTGTCTGTTTTTTTTTAATGTATTTTGCCTCACTCTGTTGCTATGCGAAAACCCTATATAAACATTGTATTTTCTGCAGTATGCACCATGTTGAGATGCAGCGAAATCGTCCTGGACATAAATCGTGCAGTATTGCAATATGGTCTTTTCTTTTCAAATTAATCTCGGGAAAGGCTTGTTTCAAAGTATTTTTTGCCACATTTTTCAGCAAACATCGGTTCAGTCAGAACCCGGGTTTCTCAAAAATATTGATTCATGTGCACAACCAATGGTTCTTTAGCACCAATCATGCTACATTGGCTCGGTATTTTGCGAACACCGTCATCGTTATTTTAAATTAACCCGTGTAGCGAACTACATAAACCCAGACACTGCAAAAGGACTGTCTGACTATTGACACGCGCCTTTCGATGGACTGCACTGCAATGCATTCTATACGCGATTTGTTTTAACTGTTTCAACTGTTCACTGAAACAAACTGTTCAATTCGATCCGACCCAACCTGAAATGTTTCACTCTCTACACTACGGCGTATTCCATAACCTGGGTCTGGGCAGTCACCTCTCGCGCATCACGCACCGCCGGCGCGCCGCATTTCTAACACAATTCAAACATGCACCGACGGCCTGGTACAATTTTGTGATCGCGCACCCGATTTCACACATTGCATGTATTCTCCCTCAGTGTGCGCGGAAAGAGATGCAACCACCCGGGCTAAAGTTTGATGAACTATTCGCATGTGAATCACTTCAGTCACTCTTCTCAAGAATCGACAGAAATCTGCGGTGATCCTAGTGTACAGGATAAGGCCAGCCAAGCACCTACGCGTTACAGTCAATAGACAAAGAACCACAGGCCAATTGTGCCGGCCAATCAGAAGCCATTACGACGAAACTGCATCTTGACGTGGTGTGATGGCTTGTGCATCTCTGTGACCCAACGAGCTACACAGGATGGTTTTATAAAGCCAGGAGATCTTATCATGCC